AGGAAACATATATAAGAATTCTCAGAGCACCATTGTTTAAAACCATGTCAAAGTGGGAAAAACCTTACCAAAACTCCAAGAGAGAATAGTTACATAAACTGTATTTCCCTCAGAAAGTAGAATTCTATAGGCAATTTTTAAAAATGAACTACAGAGGCACCTGGGTGGCTCAGTGAGTTAAAGCCTCTGCCTTCAGCTCAGGTCATGATCTCAGGGTCCTGGGATCGAGCCCTGCATCTGGCTCTTTGCCCGGCAGGGAGCCTGTTTCCTCCTCTCTCTCGCTCTCTCTCTGCCTGCCTCTCTGCCTACTTGTGATCTTTGTCTGTCAAATAAATAAATAAACTCTTTTAAAAAAAAGAAAAAAGAACAAAACCAAATGCTGGTAAGAAATATTCTGAAGGAGCTAGGCCGTGGAATTACCTGGCTCTTCTTTAAAAAAACAAACAAACAAACAAAAAAACAACTACATCTGTGGTTATCAGTGTACATAAGTGCCCTAATATCATGTTGAATAAAAAGGTTGCAAATGAATATGTACGATGTACAATTATATAGAACTAAGATAAAAAAAATACATAGGTTATTTGTGATATACACATTTATAGTAAGAGTTCTTTAAAAATGGAAAAGAAGGGGCAACTGGGTGGCTCAGTGGGTTAAGCCTCTGGCTTCAGCTCAGGTCATGATCTCAGGGTTCTGGGATCAAGCCCTGCATTGGGCTCTCTGCTCAGCAGGGAGCCTGCTTTCCCCTCTCTCTCTGCCTGCCTCTATGCCTACTAGTGATCTCTCTCTCTGTCAATTAAATAAATAAGATCTTTAAAAATGGAAAAGAAGCACACATTAACTTTAGAACAGACATTTCTCCTGGAAAGGGAGAGAAAACAGTGGCTGCAAGTGTGCTGTTTTATTTTTTAAAGAGAGAGAATGGTAGCAAAAATAGCAAAATATTAACAATGAATCTAGATGCTAGGTATAGGTCATATAAAAAATTTTCCTGTTTGAAATAGTTCCTAACTGATGTTAAAAACTCACCACACTATCTTTGACTGTCACAGAAATCCCCAATAAGCTCAATAAAATATTTTGTAATTGTTAGGTCTGTGATGAAAGGAGTGAGACTGATAGAAATCGAAGGTCAAGCAAAGCTTAATTACGAGCCAAGCATCGAGAATCAAACCAACCGGTCAGGGCTGCCTTTTACAGAGAGGGCGACCACCCCCCAGCCTCACAGAATAACTTTTATAGAGCAAAGGCCTTGTGGTTGAGCCTGGCCACACACAGGTGGCCAGTGAGATTACAACACACAGAGAAAGCTGCACAGTCATGCTAGGTCACAAACGGGTGGCCAATTGAATTACAATTTACCCTATAGTAGATATTTGAACTAGCCTATCACCTTGGTCAGAATTGGTGCCCAAAAGGCAGAACCCACACTCCTTGGTAGCTAGGGAGACAGTATGTGCGCTCCACTGATTGGATGTCTCCACCTGGCCTGACCCACCCTTGTAATTTGGGCTCTGTTCTCTGCGACTGGTCGACCATATTTTACTAGTTTCCCGGACTTGTTTGGGAAATATAAGCATGCCACCTGCAGGAAAAGAGCTACAAGTTTTTCAAAAAGATAATGATAAATGCTTAAAATTAGGTTAGTGGAATAATTAAACTGGCAATGGGCTAGTTCCATCCACACCTTCTAAAACTGCAGTCAGTCCCACATTAACTGCTTGATTTTGGAGGAAAAATTTTAAAAAGACACCAATCATGGTGATACCAGAACTAGGGGAGAATTTCTACCTAAGAATAGAACACAAGTTATAAGGAGTTAGGAGTTAAAAAGTAGCCAGAACTTCTTGAATAATTTGTATATTACTTCATTCTTCTGATTTTATTTTTTAATATTTCCTTAAATAATTTAGTCCACAACACTGTACTCAGAAAGCAGTATAAGTAGTAATTCAGTGATTAGGCTCTGAAGTTAGACTCTCTGGGTCCCAATCCCAGCTTTACCGATTACTACCTGTGTGATTTTGGGCCTTTCAATGTTGAATCATCTGAGAGTCTAACTCTAAAGTTAGACTTAAACACAGGGCTGTGTTTAAGATTTTCTCTTTTTTTCTTCTTCTCTCTAGTGATTCATTCTTGACAATTTCTTCCATCTTCTTACTTACTGTTTCATCAGCTCTATCTTATCTGCTGCTAATCCCGTTAATTTCTATTTGTAGTCATTTAATCTGGTTCTTTTCCAAATATGGTTGGACATTTTTAAGAGTCTTTTTGCCCTTTGTATTTTCATTCCCTTCCTTTATTTCTTAGAACATAATAAATGTATTTTCTATTCTGTGCCTGGTAATTCCAGTACCTGAAGCTTTCCACTAGCCTCTGCCACCAGTCTCACCTGGCTGTCACTTATGGTGCCAGGCTTACCCATGGGTGCAAGACTTTTCTGAATGTAACCTTTATTTCTTAGACTTTAACCGTGAGAACTATTTGCAGGCTGGGCTAAAGGTGGATTCCTACAGGTAAGATCACCATTTGCTGATGCCTAAAACCCCTTTAAACTAAAATTTCAGTTTGAGATGCTTGGGATCATCCAGGTTGTGTGCATTTGGGCCTCAATGCATATGTGGACTATCTTGTGCTTAGGAGTTATCTGGAGACAGTTTTGTTTTCCCTTTCAGTACAAAATTCAAATACCACAATTGCTTTCAGTCTCTAAAGACAGGGATAGAATTGTGGTTATTTCCAGGTCACCTTTTATAACGGAGGTCTAGCTCTTTAGGGTTTCAAATTAATTGGGGGAAGACCTCATATTACACTCCTAACTTGGGAAGGTCCTGAGCTTTGTGTTTATTCTTTTTTTTACCAAAGTCATGAAAACCTAAATTCAGATTGCTTGAGTAACGAGGGCCCTCAAGGCAAAAGCTACCTTCCCCATTCCTTTTACCTCTTTTGGTCCACTTTCACCTTGATTTTTGGCCTCTGGTTGCGCCTTGCTAACTTACTCTTAAAATTATTTTTAGGAGCGCCTGGGTGGCTCATTGGTTGAGCATGACACTTGATTTTGGCTCAGGTGATGATCTCAGGTATCCTAGGATGGAGCCCTGAGAAGGCCCTGAGAAGGGCTCCTCATTCAGCAGTTTGCTTGTCTTCCTGGGCTCCTCCCCCACCCCTCCCAAGCACCCACACACACTTTCTCAAATAAATAAATAAATCTTTAAAAAATATTTTTACGTTTTTATTTTATCCAGTGTTTTTAGCTGTTTTCAGCTAGATGACCAGTCATGTTTTCTTTTAGATCTCCAAGTCCTATTCATTCCTAATGCTATTAATAGGAACAGAATATTAAATACAACAGCCAGTCATTTGTCTTTTTAACAAATATTCATTGAGCAATTAGTAAATACCAGACAGTGTTCTAGGCTGTTGAAAGACAAAGTCCATACCCACCCTCAAGGATTACATGTGAGGAAATAAATAAAAGTATCTTATGGCTGTGAAGAAAAAGAAACATGATAATGGGGATAGAAAGTGACAAGGTAAATAGTATTATTCTAAATGGAGTGGTCAAGGAAAACCTCTTGGATAAAGTGGTATTTGAGCAGAAACCTTAAGAAAGGGAGAAGACCGTAAGTGGACTACTTGGGGGTAGAACTCTCAAGGCAAAGGGAAGAAATGCAAAGGCTCTAACGCAGGAGTGTCCTTGATGGGTCCAAAAACAGGGTAATGGGAGCAGAGTGAGCAAGAGGAGGGAAGACAGTAAAAAATGAAACACACAATAATTACAATATGCTGTAATAAATCTGGGCAAGATGGCATAAGCTTCACATTTAATGAATCGAGGGGCTCTGGCTTTTCTGAACCGTTTTCAGGTAGACACTCCAGAAATTAAATTACTAATGAGTAATCAAATCTATTGTTTATGTCTCACAAGTTCTGCTTTAAATGCATAGGTGCAGTTTTAAGATTCTTTAAACAAAATTATAACTTAGAGGAACAAATATAACTATAGAAAGTTTAAAAATGATATTTAAAAATGATATCGTGTAGATATTTCAAATTTCTGGAGAGAAGTTTAATTATTGCAGAGCTGGTAGAAAACTGGACTCCAATTCTTAACACTTCATCAAGTTATTATACAAACTACACTCATCCAAATATTCAATGTATACTGTGAATCTACAATTTCCTGTTAAGCAGGGATAGAGTCCCAAGGTCACATCAGGGTGAGAAGGATATACACTTACATAAATTATTTTGGTCTATGAAAAATGGTTGTTACAGCAGTCCAGGAGGAAGGGGCTAGAATAGCCAATTTTCTTCTTTAATCTTGGTAACAACCCTCTGAAGTAGGTACTATCACGCTGATTTTGTAAGGAAGGGGCATGGGGGCTCAGAGCACAAGGGTTGGTGGAACCTAGCCCCACGTGTTTTGATTTCAAGTGCATAGCTCAGGTTCTGCGAACGGAAAAGGAATCATTCCCAGGTATTCCTCCAAAGGAGTTAATGTACTCCTTTGTGAAGCAACTTTACTCTGTAAGTACTAACAAACGTTACTTTCGTTCTCTGGTTTAAACCACCTCAACTCAATTACAGACAACTTGTTTTATTTTTCTTTTGGGAGTCAAACGAATTTAAATTTTAAAGACCTCGCCTGGGCTGGGAGGGGCCAGACTCGCCCATTCACAGTAGCAGCATAGGTGGAGCGCTAGGGTCCTCCGAAGCTAGTCGCGTCTACACAACATCTAATCCAAATCCAAACTCCCCGGCTTTGACCACAGCCGTTTAATAGTACAAGACGGGGAGGGAGGCGGCCTCAAGGTGTCACTGGACGCGGATCGAACTTCCCAGGCTTGGAAGAAGGCGGTGGGAAACCAGGGACGGGGGCCTGCATTTCCTGAGTTCAATATTATTTATAGCCAGCGCCGGGAGAAGCCAAAGCCGACAACAGCTGCGCTGCAGCGCGGTGCCATGGCCATGCAAGCGGGTCTCACACCGCTCACCTTCACAGTCGGCCCCTGGCCGTTCCCCGGCCTCCTGGCCCATCGCCGTCCTCGGGTTAGACACCCAAAGTCCGGCACAAAAGGCCACCACTGCGGCTGGGCCCACGCACCACATGATGAGCCAGCCGCTCCAGACGCCTGCCACCTGCGTCCACCAAAACAGCCACGCAGCTATCGCCCGGTGCTGTGACAGGACGCGGAGGGCAGAGCTAGGGGTTAGCGGGCGGTGGAATCTGCCGGGAGTTGCTGGGCCAAATGACGCCAATTCAATCACAAGTTTCCATTGGCTTTCACGTAAGGAACTAGAAGGGGGCGGAACGAAGACATCCCTTCCAGTCCCTCCCCGACTGGCGCGTGCGCAAGATCGCACACGCGCTGCGATTCTGGCAGGGCTAGGGTGGGAGGACGCAGTAAAGCTATTCGCCCGCAGTCGGAAAGGAAAGGCGAAACCTTCACGCTGATTGGTGGCGACGCGGGAGGCCGCGGCGGATGGACCGGACGCAGTGGGCGGGCGGGAACGTGAAGTTTCCGCGGTGCCTGATGGGGCTGTTCCGAGGCCCGAAGCTGTTGCCACAGGGAGACCACTCGTTACTGCTGCCGCCTTCTCTGCCGCCTCATGGCGGCCATCGGAGTTCACCTTGGCTGTACATCAGCCTGCGTGGCCGTCTATAAGGTGAGGGACTGGGGGAGCTGGGCTCCAGCCTGAGGGCCCCCCAGTTCTCCGGGTGCGGGGCAAGTCCTTTGGTCTCTTGTGGGGTTGTGAACAGCGTGTCGCCGGCCTAGGAGTGTCTTGCGGAAAGGTATTATTGCGGGGAATCTGGAGCTGAAGGACCGGGCGGACCCAGCCTGGTCCTCCGCAGCTCCTCGGAAAAGGCTGCTGCGCCCTGACTGAGGTCGTGAGGACGCGGGCGCGCTGGGTCCGGGAACGTCCGGGCCGTAAGGGGCCTGCAGGGGGCGGTCCCGGGAACGTCAGGGCCTCTGGAGGCCCAGAGGGATCTCGGGGACGTCGTGGGCACTGGAGGCTCGGAGTTGGGCGGGCCCGGGGACCTCAGGGCAGCAGGAGGTCTGGAGGGTCTCGGACATGAGGGCCGCGGGAGGCCGGGAGAGGGGCGGTTCTGGAGACGTCAGGGCCTCAGGAGGCCGGGAGAGGTCTCGAGGACCTCGTGGGCGCTGGACGCCGGAAGAGGGGCGGTCCCGGGAAATGTCTGGGCAGCAGGGGGCCTGGGAGGTCTCGGGGATGTCAGAGCGGCAGGAGGGCCCGGAGGGGGATGGTCCCCGGGGACCGCAGGGCTGCTGCTGGCCGGGAGGTGGGCCTGAACCTCCCGACCCCGAGGTTTTCAAAGGTTTGCCAGGAAAGGACCTGCTGGTCGAGATCTGGAACTGGAATTGATGATCCCGCGAAGCTCGGGAAGCGAGTTGGTGATGCATGCTCTACTGACTTGACCTTTCTTCAATGAGGGGGCTTAACAAGGAACTGTAGTCCGCTTCTCATCAGTAGGGAGGTGGAAGGAACAATAATAAGGAACTCCCCTATTAGTCTTGCATTTAAATGTCAAGTGATTTGGAAGGAAAAACCAAAGGGATTTAGTGTGCTACCTCATCATATGTAGAAAAAGGAAGAAAGATGTATTTGTCAGGAAAGAAAACTGGAAAGGGTGTTATAAGTCTTATTATTGTATACAGGAAAGTTATTATGTTTGATCCAATTATTGACTAGAGCAGATTGAAAAAATGAGGCGGTTGTTTTTGAAATGTTGACCTTATATAAAATCTAGGAAATTAATAATGGCAATTAAATCTGCAAGTTTAAAGTATTGATACAGTGGTTTTTTTCCTACAGGTATGGCAATGTAAAACTGACCCGCATATGTCTGATGAGACTGTGTGTGTGTGTTTGTGTGTGTCTGTGTGTCTATATCCCCCCCCCAAAAGATTACTAATAGAGTTGTGTATTTTTTTTTCTTTCAGGATGGCCGGGCTGATGTGGTTGCAAATGATGCAGGTGACAGAGTTACTCCAGCTGTTGTTGCTTACACAGAAAATGAAGAGGTACTATTCTCCTCATGTTTGTATTTTGAAATAAGTAAAATTACATGCATTGTAATATGCTGTTCTTTTTCAGGTTGTTGGATTGGCAGCAAAACAGGGTAGAATAAGAAATATTTCAAATACAGTAATGAAAGTAAAGCAGATCCTTGGCAGAAGGTATGGAATAAAATAATACTTTTACATATGGAAATAAAATGTGTTCATACATTCTAAGCATAACGTGAAATGAAACTAGAAACATCAGTTTGTTTTTTTTTGTTGCTTTTTATGATTGAATCATTTCAGAGATTATCCCAGTAGGCTCTTTCTTTTGATGATTAGTGTTGTATTTTCTCAGGGATGGGATTCAGTCAGATACTTGTTTTTTTGCTCAGAGATCTGTTTTTACTGATAAATGCCAATGTTCGTATAGTTTGATAATGTTTCATTTAGAAGTGGTAATTTGGACTTTTCATCTTTTTACATGACAGAGGGAACTTGAAAGATTTTGTGGGAATTTGAAGTCTTTTCTGCACTGTAGCTGACTTTTGCAAAATTTGTTACAATTGGTCATAATTTATATAGAAGCTATTGATTTTCTTTCTCAGGTCCTTTTGTGACACTTTCTGGGAACTAACTTTTCCAGTTGGCTTACAAATTTAATCATTAGAGAAACAGCTTAATTAACATCTTAAGTAAGAATCAGGTTAATCATCTGTTGTATCTTTAATTAACAGATTAAAGAGGCTTGCTTCTCCAGACTTCTGTCTCCTCAAATTATAGATTACCATAATAATTAGGGGTTTTCATTTTCACTGGAGTAGTAATACTTGATACAGTGTTTTTAAATTTTCAAAGTGCTTTCACATCTATTATTTAATCCTCTCAAATCCTTAAAAGATTGGTAAGGCAGGTTTTATTCCTCCCCATTTGTAGATGAGAAAATCAAGACACATAGAAGTTATGGAATTGCTTGGTTAGTGAGGGGGGTGAGCTAGATAGGACTGCAGTTCAGGACTTCTAACTCTTAGCCCCAAGTTCATCTTCCCTTTCTACTTCGTTCAGTTGAGAATTTAAGTATAAAAGCCCCATGTTGATCTTGGGATTTGGGGGTTATGGATAAATCTAATATTTATTTTATACATACAGATATTTTTTGTTATCCCTTACCTGTATTTAGTTAAATTGAACTTGATTTATTTTTTTCCTTAGGGTATTTGTGCAGTAAGTCAAAAATGATATTTTGGACAGAATTTAAATTTTTGTGATGATAAATATACTCCCCTCTCCATTTATGTGTTGACAAAATTGAGTATTGCGCATATTGAAAATAAATCAATTGGTGTCAAAATTTGCAAGTTATAAAATCTCTAAAAAGCTCTAGATGGCTTTGAAGCTATATTCTCTTAAAAGAAGCCGACAGTATGGATTTTTTTCAATTAAACTTTTTATTTTGAGATCATTGTAAATTTACATACTGTTGTAAGAAATAATACAGAGAGACCCAACGTATTAGTGGATTTACCACTTCCTCTGGATGCTAATATCTTGGAAAACTAGAGTACAGTATCACAACTAGGATACTGACATTGATACAGTCAAAATACAGAACATTTCTGTAGATCTAGCTCCTGGGGGCCCTGTTGGATTTTGCTATTTTAGGGCAGATGATCAGAGTAATGATACGGTTGTGTTCTGCCATACCATGCAAAATCTTTGTATTGTCAGGAAGAAATTAAGCTTACTTTTCTGGCCCCCAAAGTTATCTTTTAACAAAGTGCCATGGTGACGGTCAGATGTAATATGTAACCACAGCAGGCTGCTGAGGCCAAGGCTGGTAAAGGATGAGTGCTCTTCAGACCTGCTGTTCCACCATGGTCCTGCTGGCACTTCTCTAGAGTGAACTCTCTTGGCCCAGGTATTCCCACCTTAGCCTACTTACAAGACAGTGGTGATTTTTACAGTTAGACACAGTTGTACCAGGTCTCAGCCTCAGAAGCACTCTCTCTTTTGTGGAGGAGTCAATCCCCTTTTACCAAGCCAGTAATGTCCTTTTGAGCTCTTGGTCCAGTACCTGTCCTGGGCGAACCCTCACGGTTGGGCTTTCTTGGTCTTGGCGTCCTGCCTGTTTGCACCCTACTCACAGGTAGCACCACCTAACTTGCTACCACAGTTATCCTTACGCCTTCCCTGTAACTCTCATTCCCCTATGGCCTTCCAGCCAGAAATGCGGTCCTTGGACCTGGCTTCTCAACAATTAGCCCCGAGAGGGAAGAATCGGCTGGCTCCTGGAAGTACACTGAGAGCACACAGAGCTTCCCCACACCTTCAGACTTGCACCTTGCAGCCCAGGAGCTTCCTGCAGCTAGCCTTCCTTCCCGGTCCACTATGGCCAGTTCCAATAGCAGTGCGGGCATCCGGTGGTCCCGGCAGGAGACGCGAACTCTTCTCTCCATACTAGGCGAGGCAGAGTATATCCAGCGCCTCCAGACTGTGCATCATAATGCGGATGTCTATCAGGCTGTGTCTAAGCGAATGCAGCAGGAAGGCTTCCGCCGCACCGAACGTCAGTGCCGCTCCAAGTTTAAAGTTCTGAAGGCGTTGTATTTAAAGGCGTACGTTGCCCATGCCACGAGTGTGGGTGATCCGCCGCACTGTCCGTTTTATGATACGTTGGATCAGCTTCTCCGAAATCAGATAGTGACTGACCCAGACAACTTAATGGAGGATGCTGCTTGGGCCAAGCACTGTGATCAGAACCTAGTGGCCTCTGACACCCCAGGGGAGGAGGGCACCAGCCTTCTCAGAGCAAAAAGGACTCAGGCAGCAGATCATCAGCCTATCTTGAAAACAGTTAAGGAATCAGATGAGGATTGTCAACTGAGAATCAGTGACCAGATGCGAGAAACCAGTGACCTCGAGGACTCCTGGGATGAATCCTCGGGTGCAGGTAACTCCCAAGCATGTGAAGGATTGGGGTACCAGAGTCACTTGGTTCTAAACAGCAGCATATATTTGGATGGTGTTCTCTTCAACTTTGTCTCCATTTCTGACCCATGCCCTCGGTTTTTTAAGCCTTCTCGTAAGGTAAGGGGCTCCAGGTCTTCAAAAGCAATGACCCTAGGTATATAAAGTATTAGATCTTTTGAAATGTGGAAAAAGTA